ATATAAAGTAAGGTTTGAAATTTTTAGCTATTTAATTATCAAAATCATTAACTCTCAATTAAAATAAAAATAAAATATTTATAAGATCAGTTTTCAATATTTAAAAAAAGTAATAGTTTAATTCTAAAAGTTCAAAATTTTAAAAAAGTAATAGTTTAATTCTAAAAGTTCAAAATTTTTAAAAATTAATAAATTAAAAAGAATTAATAAATGAATTTTTCACATATACTAGAATTATATTAAATATCTATAATAAATTGAGTGATTAACTCAATTTAAAAATGGAATTCAAATTGAGATTAAAGAAATTTTTTTAATTAAGTCAAGACAAAATTTTCAAAAAATTAAAAGAATATAGTTAGCAAATTTTCTTTAGTTTTAGTTAAATTTTTTTCTTTTGATTGAGCTAATCACTCAATTTTATTTTAGATATCTAATATTGTTCTTATGTACATGCAAAGACATTCACTAATTATTTTTAATTTTTTAAACTTTTAAAACTAAATTATTAAATTTTTAATTTTTGAGAACTGATTCTATAAATATTTTATTCTTACTTTTATGGAGAGTTAACAGATTCCATTAGTCAAAAGGTTAAACTCTTCAAACCTTAAGTTAAAAAGTTAAGAAGTTAAAAATTTTATAATATAAGGTGAGGGATTAAAAGTTTTAAATTTAATAAGGTAATGAACTAATTGTATACTTTAGCCCGAATAAAAAAACATTGTTTGAATAAGTGAATTCAAAAAATAAATTTTTTATTATGTGTCTTTAAATTATATAAAAAAAACTGAAATTAGTTTAAATATTAATGTAATGTGTATTAATTTAATTCATTAATTATTAAAATTAAAATTTAATTTTTATATAATTTAATAATTAAAAAATATACTAAATGTATCTTCAACCTATACTTAAAAACTCTGTATTAGAAAAAACAGGTTTGAATTGAAAAACCATTCTCGAAAACAAAAACAGAAAGGAGTGTTGCGTGGAATGGAGTCTGGAGATGCCAAGGCTCGACGAGTTTTTATCGGTCAAAATTCTCCACCTACTAATGCTAAGAGGCCAAAGCCAAACGCGTGATTTTGCGTAAACTATACCATAACATTAATGTAATTTTAAATATATATATATATATATTAATTTAATATATCTATTAATATTTATCAGTTT